GRCRCTGAACCAAATTTGCAGTGATTATTAACAGAAATGTTTAACTCCAGCAGGCTGACAGGGTTCTTTTATTCTGCTTTTACTTGAGCTTATTTTAAAAAGTCTATCCTTTAAAAAGAAGCTGGTTTAAAAAAAAAAAAAAAAAAAAGGATTGTAAAAGGGGCTTAGGTAAAGGGAAGACTGTTCTCCTGAAATTTGCTGTTTATGTATCCTTGGAAAACAGTGTATTTTTGCTATTCTGAAGTGGGTTATTAGACTTTTCTTTGCAATTACAGTGGAGAAGGCACAGTTTGGCACAGCAGCTCAGTGCTGCTCATAAATAGAGCCTTGGACAGGGGCTCTATGGCCCCTCTGTCCTTGTCACGGTGAGTGCAGGGGACAGGTTGGGTGCCAGTCTGAGAGCTGCCCTGTGAGGATGAAACAGGCTCTCCCTGCAGTGAGCAGATGTTCTTGCTGCTGGCCTTTGTGACATTCATACTCTCAAAATCCTCTTCATAGGAGTTTGCTGTTAATGTAGGGAACAGCGGAGTTGTGGGTGAGAGCGATTTCTGGGATGGAGGTGCATTTCAGGGACACTGAGAAAGCTCTCACAAGGTGAGCCCATTCCTCCTCTGGCTGATCATGCCAATCTCTCCTCCAGTATTTACTCAAACGTTTATAAAAACAGATAAGTCTTCTGGASAGCAAAGCCTGCTGAACTGGAGACAGGGAAAACCTGAATAAACAAACATGTGCCACAGATTAGTAAGAACATCTGTAGGTTTTATATTGTTTTGAGAACACATACCAGAGTTTTTCATTTCTTATGCTTTTTTAGTTTCTCCCTTTCTTTCTGTCTCTCTCTTTGCTTCTTCTTTTTAAATATATTGCTAATAAAGGTTGGAGGTAGAAAGCACAGCTGGACTCTGCATGACATGCCACTGTTTAATTTCTAGCTTGGAGGATGAGAAGAAGAGTGGTTTTATTGTATCCTAGAAGAGAATAAAGCCACATGCAAATTCCAGCTATGGACATCTGTTTCCTCTTTGTGTGAAAGAATTCTCATTTTTGGAAGGGAATCCCAGTTCTGAAGGGGCTGATGAGGTTTTGGTTTTTTCCTTTTGGTTCTTTCCCCCCTTCTTTGCCACTCCTTTAGCATGCTGCCCYTACTCCCTGGCTTCTGTTTTCCTCGGGACGATGCCAGCTTGAAATTTAGCATCAGATACCAAATGGGTGAATTTTGAGTTACTTTAAAATGTTGTGTTTTAGTTACAAAGAGCATTATTAAGTTCCTCCTTAAGTAACTTTCCTTTAATTAAACTGTATTTGGTGGGAGGACTTCTGCACTGTCATCAATCTTCAGTACTTACAGGTTGRTATTTTTCTTTAGAAGCGAAATGTGTGTATCTGCTGCTTTGGCTGAGAAGTGCAGCTATTTCTAAAATTAACTTATTAAACATAATAATTTAAAATTCTTTGTGTCAGGAGAATTAAGTAGATGTGTAGAAATAAGCATCTGCRAAGTTCATTACCTTAAGTTAGGCATCAGGTGCTAAGGGCTATAGGGACCAGAGTAAATGATAATTTCACTAACCTATAAAACATTTTAAAATAATTATTTGCAGCTGTCTGGGGGCTTTAAATTTGTCTTTTGTGTGTGTGCAAGGCTTGACTCTGATGAACAAACAGCACAGTTATATAACATTAGGCCAGAATCAGAACTGGTACTCTCTGTCTATTTTATATTAATGTCGAATGAGAGGTTGGTGGAGCTTGCCAGGGTTTCRTATTTGCTGGCAGCAAGTTACCCACATGTGTGGACCACATTTTTATTGTTGCCTTAGCCTGTTTCAAGCAGAAATATCTCTGCCTAACAGGGYGTGATTCTGTTCATTGCTGAAGAGTTTTTCTTTTAAGAAGTAAAACACGAAAAGGAATTAAATGCTGTAAGTGCTCAAATAAGGAATGTCCCCAGACTGCAGGATTTTTTTGTCACGTCTGCCATGGGGGAAGAATAAAGGGCAATAAGCCATCTAAAGGATTTTTCATGGTCAGATGAGCTACCCTCGCAGAGATACTTCTTTTTGCATATATTAATGGTACTTTTGGGTGTGGGCTGTTTWGTCTGGTCTCTTAGGGAGACAGGGCTGATGCAAGCAGGGAGTTTGCACACATGGACACAGCCCTGCCACATCTTGACCGAGGACATGTGGTGGAAGGGCAGAGGCTGCAAAGCAAAATGGGAGTTCCTGTGAGTTTCTTGAAAATATGTATGTGAGGGGACAAAAACAGTGATTAAGAGGTTTGAGGGAACTTTTCARCTGAACTGTCAACAAGGGCTGTGGAATAGATCTGGAGAAGAAATGTGATGGAGGTCCCTGTCGTGAAAAGATTGCCGAACGCAGCTTGGAAGTGCTTTGGCTTCAGAGAATCTGATGACAGAACCCAAATCCGCAGGAAGACAGACTCCCTTTCATTCCAGCACCCATGAAATTGCTTTTGTGGGTTTTGTTTTTTAGTCAGGATGTCAGACAGGATCCAATGGGCAACTATAAGAATCGTAGGGCACCTCCTTAGGATCTTAATGCAGCAAAGGTGCTGCTGCTCTGCTTGTCGGTGGCGGTGCTTCATATTTGGTTTGGGTTTTGCAAGTTTTCAACCTCTGGTAAAGGGTGACTTATGAATGTTTAGGCMCTTATCCTCCCTCCTGGAGAGGAGGGAGCCCAGTGGCTGTGCAGGTCCCACTGACACACATCTGAAATCTTCCCAGGCGTTTTGGATGCTGTGCACTGCTGCATCCCATGGGGCACGTGGGGAAAAGGGAAACCCTAAATCCCCATCCAGCCCCGGCTCCCCCTGAGCAGGACAYGGAAAGCAAACACCACTAACACTGAAAATCAGACAGCAGTTGTGAACAAGTTTCCCCTTTGATTGAAACACTTCTAGCTAGGAGATAAAAAAGGGATTATGTCAAAAGCTTTCCTTGTTGTCTTATTAACAGCTGCATAATTTTACCACTCATTCACRAGCATAAAAAAGCAAAACTTGGAGRCTGTATTTGAAAGCTTGTTTTGTTTGGTGTACAGCTGGATACAGAGCGTTTCCTTTTCTCTTTTCTAACAAATTCAAAGCAAATGTATTGGTTATTGTTACTTATTTTCCCCTTTTTTTTTTTTGCCTAGATAATAGAAGATTATGTTGCTTTTCATTTTACATTGCAAAAAAATCATTCAGTGTAACTTCAGTTCAGCAACGATGCAGTAGCATGTGGGGGTATATATATCTTCTCATAAATATATTACCAMACATTACTGTCAAAGAGCTGGACTTTTTCACCCAGTATTAAAAATCAAATTTAATTGCTACACTAGAGTTTCAAGAGCCTGGTAAATAAGAGCCGTGTGTGACCTTTATTRCCGGGCTTTGAGATGCCACCAGGGATATTGCTCGTTGTCCAAGATGACAAACTTCCTCTGAGATTTCAGTTTGTCAGCTCAATGTACAGCAGTGACATTGATTTCTTCTCACTGCCATTTCCTGCCTGAATAGATAACAAATTTTCTGTGGCAGGTGTCTGTCAAGTTTAGTTTTGCCTGGCAGATTAACTTAATCGACTCATTTATTAATCATTACTTGCAGCACAGGGAAGCAGACAATACCCTTTAACTCCTGTGATGTTGGATGGATGTTCCACTTCAGATTCCTTTGTGTAGCTTGAATTTGGGTTTAATAAGCCATTCATATCTCTATGATATGTTTTTAACCTGACAACACTCAGATTAAAGATATCTGAATTAAATAAGTGTGATCCATTTTGACTATCTACTCCTTTTCGTGGTAAAAGATGCGTAAGTGCTTTCTGAGACTAAATAATTTGATATATGAAATGCCAAATCAGCCTAAACAAGGGGGGAATTAAGAAAGATAAAAGTAGAAGAAAATAGGTAGTTGGAGGAAGATTTGAGCCTGGGGTTGACTGGCTAACAAAGTGGAGGAGATAATGCAGGAGCTTTAGGAAGGGGCAAAGCTCCTACACSTGCAGACACAGCTGTAGGATGATCCTAGGACAGGCTCGTGTTCTCCTGGAGACCCCTTTCTGTGAGATATCCTGAGASAGACACTCAGCCTGGAGATGGCAAAGGCAGGGCTGGTGCCAGAGGTGGGYATTGCACAGGGATCCTCAGGGTGGTGAAGGACAAGGAAGAATTTAATGGAGAGCTTGGCAGAGGAAGAAACATAATAAAAGGCATAACCTTGGMAAGTGATGTCTCTTATTGCAAAGTGTTTCAGTCTGTTCACAATGAACACTGACTGATGAGTCACAGTTTTTATCAGGGCAGAATCTGTGAAGGGCTTGGAAATGCACGGACCCTGGGGACAGGTGGCAGCAGGAATGAGCCTAGACAGGGACACAGGCTGTTGCTGGASTGAAGAACCTTGAGTTTTACAGGCAGTAAGAAGAGAACCACCAAATTTCTCCATTGTGTTTTAGTTGGGTTGTGGTAGCTCCTCACAACTTGTTTTTAATTCTCAAGGGAGCTTTGTTTGTGGGACATCATGGGAGATGCTCAGGAACGTTTTTGCAGCTGATGCCCAACTGCAGCATCTGTGAGAGTCTGCACTGCTGAAGATGTTTTTTTTTTTTTTTGCCAAGCTGTGTTCCTGGCCTTGGGAACGTGTTTCTTGAACCATCCTTGTAGCTTTTTTGGCTGACTGTCAAACCAAGAATGTCCCTGCACTAGATCACACTGCTTGTTGCTCTTGTAGGCCACCCTGGTAACAATACATTAACCTCTCAGCAGGGAATGTGATAAACAAAGTAAAACTGCTTTAGTGAAACCAGTCATTTAATGGCAGCATACATAAAGTGTCCGTAAAGATTTGTAAGTGTAATAAGCTGCAGTTCACTGAGGGAACAATAACTGTTCCTAATTTAGCCAGTTGAGGAACATACCAACCCAATTTGCTTTTGTAACATTATGTTGTTGTTTTTTTTTTTTTCTCTTTTCTCACCTCTCCAGATTCCTTTCTCTCTGGTACAGTTTCCCCTCTGGGAGTCCTTAAAGGTAAGTTCTCTTTAGTGATGGAAATGTAAGTTCTACATTTTGCAAAGGCTTTCTATGGTAACTTACTTAACTCAATTATTGCAATTCTGGGTGTCTTCAAGAATCAGTAATTGTGTGCCAACCTACCTGTGCATGTGAAGATCATCTGCTTGAATATCTGAAAAATAACAGGGAATATCTAACCACTGATCTGTGGCATGCAGGCTAAATTTTATTCCCAGCATGYCAGAAATCTTCTCTTCTGCTCTATTTTTTTCTGCTTAAAAAGAGTGGGAACCATCTTGTGTGATTATTTTTTTAATTTTAATTTTTTTAGTGTTTTGCTCCTCATGGTAAAAGGAAATTACAAATGAGGGAACTGGGTTTGTAAACATCACTGAAAAGCTATTTTGATTGGCTGCATGCACTTTATTTAAGGGTCATTTAAAGAAGGTGTCAATTGATGATGCTTTAACTGTGCAGTTGGTTGGAATGAGATCCTGTTCTCCCACCAGCTGGTTGCTCTGTTTATCACGGTCGGAGTCAGGATCTAGATTTGGAGAGCTGGATTTGAAGTCATGTAATTTCTCCATCCCTCTGTATTTCCTTGAGCTCACTACAAAAGATGATGGGAAGGGTTTTCCAGATACTTGGAMGTTGTGGGGTGGAAGCACAAAGAATTATTGCAGCTCATTAAAAGCATTGTAGCAAAATATATTTTAAAAAGATGAGCCAGAGAGAGAAACTTTCTTCTTGGTAGGAGTGCTGGACTTGCACAGAAACCCAGACTGGGTTTACATACAATCCGTGTGTGTTGGGTTGGACACCAGCTTGTCCTCTTGCTGTCTGTAGCTGGGGCTGTTTTGGGGGGACAAGCCCACAGTGTGAATGTTTGTGTGTAGAGGCGTCAGGGAGTCCAATATAAAGGTGAGTCCACAGCAGGAGGAGCATGAAAATCACCAGGAGCTTTCTCAGAACTGAGCTGTGTTCGTGGAGGTTTTGTGGGTCCTTCATGAGCTCAGCCTGTGGTGGTGTCTGGGTATCATCCCACTGCACAGGGGAGCTTGGGCTGCCTTATTAGGAATCTGTTTCCCTGCCAGTGTCCAGGAATGGCTCTCTGTAAACTCTCCAGCAGTGGTACTGCCCCGACCTGCTCATGGTTAGTGCAGCAGCCGTGCTTGCGAGCAAGAGGTGGCAGTGCTTAAAGGAAAAAAGTGCAGTGTTCCTGCCAAACCCACATAAACCAGCAACATCATGTAGCTGTTTTTAAAATGTAAAGTTGTTTTAACTAATGTCCACGTAGCTGTGACAGTAAAATGTATTGTTTATATTACAGGCTTTAAAGAAGACAGTTTGAATTTAGCTAACTACAGGAGTGAGTCACTCAGGATGAGGCATCATGTTTAATCCAAAGAGGTCAGTGCAGATCTGAAGAGAARCAAAGCTCGTGTCAGTTTGTTCCACAAACCTGTTGCATTATATTCTTYTGTTGTGGAACCAAGAGTAGGAAAAAATCAGTCTGGCATACTCAGTCTGTTTGGCTCAGCACAGGGAGAGAGCTCAGGGTTTGTCATATCAAAGCCAGGCAGTGAAAGCAGAACACATTTTGTTTATCTGAGTGAAGCTCTTAAAAAATAGTCCTGACAGTACAACAAAGGGCAAAAATCATTATGGTCCCATCAACGGGATGGATGTGGCCAGTRGCATCACTGGGAGTATGGCTGAGGGTGCAGGGATGTTCGAAGGGAGCGTGATGAGACAGTAATTACACAGAAACAGAAATGCAAAGGACAAGAGGAACATGGCACCAAGCCTGAACAGAGAAGAATTATTGAGATGATGCCTGAGGGACTATTCTGCATTGTATTATGGATTACTTGAGAAAGTAACWGCAGGAGCAGTTGTGTCTGATGTGTGTGGGCCATCTCACAGAGGAGAGCAGCACAAGTGCTGTGGYTGTGTCGTTTTTAAAACCATTAGTACGAAGTTACAAAAGCTGATGGAAGATGGACTCAGTCTTATGATTCCCTCAACAAGCTAATCACATAAAAATGAGGAAAACCTTCCCACAGTGAGAGGACAGTTATGAGAGGCACATGAAAGAAAATGAGAGTTTCCTTTTCCTGCAGACAGCAGCAGGGTGGTGAGCTTAAAGAACCCTAATAAAAGCTTGTCATTGGTAGCAAATTGGGTGTTTCCATATCCCATTTTCTCTATCTGTTTTACTCCAAGCTGCTCTGATTATTCCTCATGCTTTGGGCACTGAGTTTTGGTGCATTCTCTGTCTGAATGTGCACCAGCTGTCTGCTGTGAGAGCAAGCTTGCATGCCATGCACTAAATTAACTTAAAAGAAGAGAGACCATTGTATGGGTTACTGAACTATAAGGTTTCCTTGGCTGTGGGTGCTGGCAAAGGGAGGATTCAGTAATTAGCAAGAAACAGATACTGTTTCAAATACAATCCTTGTGCCAGGGACTCAGGTGTGCACACAATTTAGGAACAGTTAATAGGCTCCTTCTTTAGTTCACAACAACTCAAGAAACAACAGCAAAGAAATTATGGTGCTTTTAATTTAAAAAAAAGGTGTTGTTTTTTTTCTTAAATTTGAATAGCATCCACTGCTATGAGGTGTGCTTAATGTCCTTTCTCTTCCCAATTCTCCATTTTTCCATACTTTGTTTGAGGCACAGTTTATTGCTATAAGCTAAAAGAGAATGAAACTTTGTTGTGGTATATCAGATTTCAGGACTTGTAATTTTTCAACTAGGGTGAGTTAGTGTAGCTCTTCTTTGTTAGTGTAGCTCTTTTTTGTCTCTTTAGTCTAAGCCTTACAGGTAAAACAAGTTTGAATGTTTCTTGGAGTTCAGGGAAAGAAGGGGTGTTACAAATCTCACTTTCTGCTATACCAACCCTCAGAGGAGCACTGTGGTTGAACATTACTGTGACAGTCTGATAAGTTTTTGGTTCTTTTTTGTGAGGTTAATACTTCTGATCCCATCTCAAAGCCAGGTGGCCCTGAGGAAAGGCAACAGAGCATAGATGTGGTGTRCTTCCCAAATACCAGCCAAGCACAGAGCCTTCCATATTAGTTCAGCTTTTGGAATTAATGCTGTAAGATACAGTCCCCTTGTATGCTGCCCTGGAATTTCCAAGGTTCATCTGTATGTTGCTTTGGAAATACTGTGTGTGTGTTCTTCCCTGTGGGAATTGCACTTTGTGRGCTGTGTATTTGGCATGAAATTGTTGTGGGTTCCTGCTTTCACCCTGCTGCCAGGGCTGGGCAGTCTCTGCTCCAATKATGTGGCCCTGTGGAGCCCATCAATTCTGTCTTATCTTTTATTCTCTTCTATCCAGACATTTTATTCAGCACTTGTAATCATAATATCCGGGCTCCTACCAGCAGCACAAAAGTGATTTATCATTTGTTTTGTGTTTTAATCTGCAGTTCTTCTCTTTTAGAACTAACTGAGAAAAAAGACAACTTTCATTTCTGCTGTGGGGGTCTAACAGAAATACCCCCACAGAAATACCCCCATCAGGGGTTTTCTTTCAATAAAATAGAGTTTTAAAACCCTGTAGAAAATCAAGAGCCTCTGGTTAGCTTTGAGTCCAGAAACATCTTGCTAGGAATGCCTGTTTCTTAAGGCTCAGTGGATATGGTCAGATCCCTCAGAGAACAGGGCTGTGTGTAAGATAAACCTTTCTCAGGTGAAACCAGACTCAGTCCTCTTGGGTTTTATATTTCTGCGTGTTGGCTGCGCTTCAGAGCCTCTGAGAGTTACTGAAAYGCAGCTGTAGAGGGAGAATGGTCTCTTTATAGACCAAATGTATTGTATGTCTGGAGAAAAGGCTTTGGTWGCTGCTGAGGAGGGAAGGAGCAGGCGGGACAGGAGGACATAAGTAGAATGAGTAGACTTGAAAAACAAGGGGCTTTTTGTTTGTTTAGTTGGTGGGKTTTTTTAAGGAAAACAAATTTGCTATCCTGGGAACCTTTTGTCTTTTTCATTAGACAAATGAAATCTCTAAGATAAGACACTTGGACATTGCTAGGACTGTGGAACATGAGGGTCAGCCAGTCCTGCCCTGCACACCCAATCTCTCCAGGAGRGCTGGTACAGACTGTGCTGCTCCAGGAGCTGCAAAGAAAGATAAAAATCTTGAACTGACCATGCTCAWGGTGATGTCTGACTCTTCTGGCACTCAGTGGGGCCAGGATTTCCTTCTTTGTCTCAGGGCTGAGCAAAACTTGGAGCTCTTAGACTTTCTGCAGATCTAGTGAGCCCATAAGTTTGTTTGTCACTGGCTTTAGCTTCTGGGGGAAGCAATGTAGGGTGTGAACTGATTTTAGGGTTGGCTCAGCCTTGCCCTTGGTCATCAGACAGACAGATTTTGAGATCTTGACAGATTTTGAGATGCATCTTGAAGCTTGTTGTGCAAAGTCTGCTTGATGGCTTCCTGTGGAGAGTGAGGACTCTAACCTTGGTTGAAGCTCATTGCACCTGATTTTTAAAGTTAATAAGAATGAAAAGTTTACAGAATACTTCTGCCCAAGCAGCTGGGGTTCTCAGCAGTAATACGTGTTTATAACTCTACCATTCAATCAATAAACCACATGCTATTTCCCTCCTAAAATTTACAGTCAGATCTGCTGCTGCTTAACAGGGCAAGCAGAAAATAGAGGCACATAGCCAAACTGGGCYTTAAATGGCTCTTTCCCTGCTCTCCAGGTAGGTGACCATTTTCCATTTTTCCWGGAGAAGCAGTCTGGCATTTCTTTCCTCTGTGCTCAGCTGCATGTAAGTGAAGAGTCAATGAAACCCAGGCGTGGTTTTAAAGCCATTTCCTCGCAGTGTAGTGAGTGTTCTACCACACCTCGCTCCCTCTTGGAGCACCAGGGCTGATTTTGGGATGAAGTCCTGGTGGTTCAGGAGCACTGGTGTGTGTGCCATTTGCTGAGGTGCTGCAGCAGGAGAACAGCTTTGCACGGGTCGTTTGGGGGTGGCTGCATTTTTCTCACAAA